TGTGACAGGGATTCGAACCCGCGACCCTCAGATTGCGAGTCGAATGCCTTAACCACCTGGCCATGCCGGGCCTATTAGGAGAGAGAGAGAGAGGGAGCGAACGAAGACGAAGCTGTGATAGCGAAATATTGAGCTAATAAAGTTACATTCTGGATATGTAGGTCGTGATTTTATTTACGTTTATATAAATGTCTCATAACAAACTGCAGCTTGCGTTAAACAAAGTTAAGAATAAAAAAAGAATTTAGTTATTGCAATCGAGTTTATATATCGTGTAAGGCTCGTTCCTTGCGACAACCGAGGCTTTGTAATTTCTCATGGTGGGGCACGTTTGATAAACAAAAATGTAAGTTTGGTGTGACGGGGATTCGAACCCGCGGGTTGTGAGTCGAGCGCCCTAACACCGTTGGATTTAGAGTAGAATACATTACATATCAAAATATATCTTCATATAGGTATTGGTAAGTACTTTTCCATCTTATTTTATCAATACGTACATAAAACAATGTTTGAACATATATTTCAACCCTTATAAGTGTGTATAGAGGCTACGTCAAAGTTCAACATATTAAAATCTTTAAAATGCCATCAACGTATCTACACTAAAGGCCAACCTTTGTATTTGTTCATTTTTCTTGATTAAGATGGATTCTTTAAATTTTCTGTCCAGAAAATTATAACAGTTATATAAGCTTCGAGAATTAGATTCGACATTGCATGCTCTATGAGTTTCATAAAGGCAACCAAACACATTTGTGGGGTTTATAAAGATGCTTTGAGTGTCCGCAAATGCCAGCGGTAGTTCAAAAAATTTAGGACAGGTGATTTTGATCTCTAGGATTGCCATCGTTGAGGGAAACCAGTAGAGTTGGACAACGACCTCCTGAGGTCAAAGTTTGAGTCAGACCCCCCCCCCTCCCCCCGTCTCGTTCTATTGTTCGAGAACATCTTAAACAAATCAGAAGGTCAATAGACAAGGAATTTGGGTTCCACATAAACTGTCAGATGATAACAAACCAGGCATAACAATTTACTATTCATTGGTAACCAGACATGAGAAATGGGTTCTTTATGTAAACAAGAATCTGTGGCTTAGCCCTGGCCTGAACCCATTTCCGACAGCCAAACTAGGTTTACGCCCGCAGAAAGTCTTGTTGTCCGTTTGGTGGGACAAAGACGGCATAATTTACTTTGAGTTATTGAAATCGAATCAGACTATAACTGCAGACCTTTACTGTCAACAATTGGGACCGTTTGCACCTGGCTCTCGTTCAAAAACGTCCAGCACTGATCGACATAAAATGGGTCATTCTGTAGCATGAGACCACATTCTGCAAGAATGACTCAGAACAAGATCAGTGATTCGGATTGTGAAGTCCTGCCTCACCCTCCATACTCCCCTGACATTGTCCCTTCAGATTACCATTTATTCAGATCTATGGATCACTTTCTCAGCGATAAAACCTTCAGAAGTATTGATGGCATCAAAAGATCTCTTG